TAGGAAAAATTCAGTCAGCCGAGCTGAGCCGCAAGGGAAATTACGCCCGAAATGGGAAGGCCCTTACCGAGTTCTGGAATCTGACCCTAAAGGGTATTGTAAATTGAGCTACCGAGATGGCTCATTAGTGCCGAGGTCTTGGCACGCCGAGAACCTTAGGTTGTATTATGCTTGAAGTTGTGACTTCATTCAGTTGTTTCATCCAATTATCTTGTCAAGTTATGACTTCAGCCATTTAGTTATTTTTCAACAATATGATGCCCAGCATCCTTTATTAAAAAATAAGGGGGACAAACAAGGGATGAAGTCAAAGCAAGAAACAAGGAATTAAAGAGCTGAGATGAAAAGAAACAGACTTTCATTCAACAGAAGTGTTACAAAGAATACAAGGCCGAGGTCGGAGTGCTACTAAGCACCTCACCTCGGCCACCCCCTTGAAGCCTACAAGCCTAAACCCCCGTATCGGCTGCTTCCCCGGTCTTGGCTCCCTCCTTGGCATCCATCTCTTCGGCCTCCTTTCCGCCGGGGTGAACTTCATCTCCAGGCTCTTTGCCGACGTCCCCTCCGGCTTCGTCTCCCCCGGCATCCTCTCCAGTTTCTTCTACTTCCACCTCCTCGAACACATCGTCGAGTTCGGACAGCCACTTGTTGAACTCGACCTGGATTTCGGCCAAATTCCTTCCTGCCTGAATGCCTTCGGCCATCCGATCACATAACTCCTTGGAGTCCTCATTGTAGCTGTCATGGTTTTTCAAAGACTCCAAGGCTTCGGAGGAGAGGTGAGCCGCAGCCTCATTAATGGCCGATGTGAAGCCAAACATGAAGTTAGGCGTAAGCAGTTGGCCGAGGTCCTTGATGAAGGCGTCGGACCTTCGAAACGCGTCCACTGCCGAGGCTCCGGCACCCTCGAGAGCTTGTGCATGGGACTTCTTCACTTCGTCCCCCCTCTTCTGCTCCTCCTCGAGGGCTGATCTGAGACTATTCATCGTAGCCTCGGCCTCCTCACCTTTAGCTTCAGCCTCTTGAAGTCGCCTCTGAAGCTCCGACTTCTCGGATTCGGACACCGCCAGTTGTTTCTCCAACTTGGAGATCTGAGTCTGCAGCTTGCCGGTGTCCTGCTCCTCGACCAGAGCACAGTATCTGTGAGCCATCTCGGCCGCAAAAGCTGAGCTGGAAGCCGTGGTCACCATCAGACTTTGAACCAGCTCGGCCGGGCTCAGTTTTTTCATGAACTCCAAATCCCTTGGTAGAGTGGAGTGCATTACTAGCTCTTGAGCGACCCGAGGATGTTGGCACCTGTCGTTGACCGAAATCTTCCAGTTCGGACACCAATGACTGCCGGAGTGCGTCTTCTCGTCTCCGGGAAACACTGGGGGGCTGTGGAAACGATTCCATAGCGAGGTCCCCGAAACCGGATTCACCGGAGCCTTCAACTGCTTGCCTCGGCCACGAGGAGGCGGAAGTGCCGCGACGGCTCCAAAGGGCACCCCCTCTGGCACAGACGAGGTGGACCCAGTAGCCGCGGCGGCTGAGCTGCTTTGGCTTGCCGGGGTGGGAGTACTTTTGGCTGCCGAAGTCTGGATAGCCAATCCTGGTGACTTCTTCTTCTTCGGCGGAGGGGCCGACGTCTCGTCCGAACTCTTCCTCTTCTGCCTCTTGGCCACTTCGAACGAGCCGGAGACGACGAGGTCAGACAGTTTAGTCACTGCACAAGAAATAAATATTATCATATGCCTTAGCCGAAATGAAAAGAAAAGCCATGAAAGAAAATTACAAGGTTTCTCAAGTTTAATGGAAAAGAAGGGAGTCTTGGTAGTGTTGATCACGGCTCGACTTATCCCCCCATCTACGAGCACGGCCTCGGGGTAGTCATGGCTGAACAGCCGAAGTCCCGACTTCATCAGCTTCTGGAAGGACTCCTTTTCGGCATCCCCGGCAGAGGGGTCGACCTTCGCCTTAATTGGCCTCCACCAAAAGCCCCTCGGGAAGTCCACTCCGGACACGAAAAAGTAGTCGCGCTTCCAGTTCTTGATCGAGCTGGGAGCACCGATCACCAACTTCGGGATGGCATTGTTCCTGTTGCCAACATAAAACCATCCCTTGTCCGACGCGTGCGCCTTGAGGGTGTAGCATCGGCGGAAGAGATCGACGGAGGGAGTCACCTCCTGATGTCGGCACAGCATCTCGAACCCCACAATGATGCGGATCGCATTCGGGGTGAGTTGGGTGATTCTCACCCGGAAGTGACGAAATAAATCTCGGAGGAACCTCGACGTCGGCATCCTCAGCCCGGCCTCCAGCTGTTGAACGTAGACGGCCACCATGCCAAAGGGGGGCTCCGCGGCTGTGTCATCCGCCTCGGGCGGCAATACTTCGTACCACGGCCGGAAGGGGTACTTGTCAACCACCCTCATGGCCCTATCTCTTCCTACGCGACTCCTAAACTTCGGCATCTGGCCGAAGTCGATGTCGGCAACGTCCACTGGAGCAACTGGCTCCGGTACACCCTCGTCATGGGGCATCTCGGTCCCGAGCTCGGTATTATACTCCACCTCGGAGCCGCCCTCGCTGATCTCGGACGATTCCAGTTCCGAGGCTGTCTCTCCGACTCTCACCTCGGTCGATCCTTCCTCAGAACTCTGTGCCGACCCTTCCGAGCTGGACGTCGTCGCTTCTTCCTCAGGATCCGCCCTCACCTCGGTCTGGTAGCTCGGGGTCACGGTTTCTTTATGGGTTTTAGCCGTCTTGGCCATGAGTGAAAGACGAGATAAGGAAGAAAAGGGATACTTACTATTGTTTACGGAACTGGACGAAGTGGATGACTTCGGCTATGATCTCGGCTGGAAAAAACTGACCTCGACAACACTCGCAAATTTTGCAAGTCACAAGCGAAGAAAGAAAGTGATGGGCCATGCGGTGAAATGGACCACCTATTTATAGGGGATGGCCAGAATCCGAAGAGGCGGCAAGAATACGAAAAGACGACCACGATCGAATTCGAAACGCCACGCCTCTCTCTCTCCTCATTAATGCCCCGTCCTTTCGACTGACACCTTCTGCACGAAACGTCCCACTACTTCACGACGCGACGGTTATCAGTGACCACGTCCTATCAACTGATTCGCCCACGTGTCACGTCCCCGCATCTCCCGGAGTAGTTTTGGGACCCCGACTCTTCACGATTTCGGCACAAAGAAGCCTCGGTGCCTCCCCGGCCCGAAGCCCCCGAGGCTTGGGGGGCTTATTGAGGGTGCTCACCTCGGCCGCCCCGCGTCTCCGAGGTGAAGTCACCTCGTCCCTAGTCCACCGTGTAGGTGACCTCGGCACATCCACCTCGGCTGCACGCTGATGATGTCAACCCACCTGACATCATCCAGGACCAGCACTTTATCTGAAAAGCACTGGAGGCACTTAATGGCACCTGCACCATATCCTCCGTCATCACTCCCAGGCGGCTACAGTGTCAGAGTCAGACCTCCTGACAGGAGACAGAGCCGTAATGCCAGAGAGTGGGTCCCGCTAGCATGAGCCTTCCGTCTTGACCACCTCTCTTCTATAAATACCCCAAACGCACTCCCAACAAGTAAGCGGACACTGTTCATTAACTCATTCTCATTATTCTCGTTCTCATACTAACTTGATCGTCGGAGTGATACCAGGGGAGAAGCCCCGCCACTCACTTCGGACAAGGAGGCTCACTTCGGACACAGGAGTTCACCTCACTTCATCTCAGAGAGGACTGATCCAGGTCGGTCTAGTTACCAACCAAAAATCGCCTCTTCAGAAACTTTCTCCATAATTCCTCATTTTTTTCCATTCCAGCTCAACATGCAGAGTGCAATTATCATACTAAGGTGTATCTTGTGCATTAATATGAAATTTATAACCAAAGATTTAAAACGAAAAGTTGGAGAAATTCTGTTTTCTTTCTCTCGGCTAGAGCTAAGAAGTTCCAGCAATTAATTGGTCATGGAGTCCAAATTTTTCCACGGCTGAAACACTGCATTTATTACCCAAAACCAACATGCAAGGCTACTTAATGAAATTGCTTATCATAACTAGTTCAAAACAGGTTCGGCCAGCAACCAAAACCATCCCCAAATTCCAGAAATTCTGTTCACTACCCTGGAATGAGCTTGCGTATAGCAGTCCTCTGTTTCATCTCTTTTTTTTTTTTTGTATAGTCGGACTAATAAACTTCATGCAAGGCTTAATCCTCTAATCTAAATTAGTCAAACACCTAACTAAATGAGAATCAAAAACTTTCCAGCAACTTTCATGCTAAATTTCCCATGAAATTTCTAAAACAACACCAGCGGCTAAACTGGAAAAATTCGTTCAGCAGTTCAACACTTTTCAAATAAGATTTCCAGCCATGCAACCGAAATTCAGTTCACATGCAACACCAAATAATTAACTATCTCTCAGTTTTTAACTAGCTAAACCCACAATTAACCTCAGATCATCACAAATTCACGGATTAAAGCTGAAATTTCCAGATCAAGCTCTCGGCAATTCTAATTCTTTCACAACCAGATTCCTTGTAACTTAATTTGTCCCCTAACTGCACAAACCCCACATGCATGCTTACACACGGCTTCATCAACCCATAATCAATTAGTTTAAATTCAGAAAATTACCTCAGCTTAAGATCGAGCTCACACAACAAGCGGCTGCAAAACTTCTCCCTCTCGGCTAACCAGAATGCAGCCTGCTAGCCCGTCCTTTCTCTTGCTCAAGCTCGCAACTAAGATGAAGGAAGTTTGGCACTCAAACTCCTCCCCAACTCACGGATGGAATGGTTGCAGAACCGCAGGTCTCACTCTCTTTTCTTTAACTCACGAACAGAAAAAAAACAGAGCAAAGACTTCGGCTCTCCCTCACTCTCACTCTCAGCTTGCCGGGTGCAGCTCTCTCACTTTCTTGGTCGATGATCACGAGGCAGAGGCTGGAGAGGGAGTGTTTGGTTGCGGACTGGGGTGAGTTGGTGCAGAGAGGAAATGGAAATGGTGGTTTATGTTGCAGCAAATGAAGAGGAAATGAAGAGAGGTGCCGCGGTTTTTGAGAAGAGGTTGAGTGTAAGACATGGTTGCGTGTTGAGATGGTTGAAGGTTTTTGATTGGTCGGATGGTGCGGTGCTATGCTGCTGTCCGAGGATTTGTTTGGCGTTGCATGGAAATGTTATGGATGTGTGGTGATTTCGTGGAATTGTGAAAGGTATTTTGGACCTTTCACTCGACCTTCTAATAATATTTGCGTCCTTATTCTAATTTAATCCCAAAAATTTATTCCGAATGTAATTTAACCTCCTAGTGATGTGCTAATCTCACGAGATTTCAATTATCGTAATTTTTACGTCCTACTCGTATCTTGTATACATGTATTGTAAAATTTATCGATGACATCTTAATACTAAGGTTTTTGTATACCCTTAATCTTATTCGAAAAGAATGTTAGCTACTGCAAATTAAGGAATTTATTTTTAAAGAGTAAACTTAATATAACTCAAAAATTATTACTTTTGTATAATAAAACCGAATAATTCAATATTGGCACAGTTATATTATTTATTTCATAAAGATTATCTTTACACTTTTATTTCAAAACAATTAGTTACAATACTAGAATTCAAAGTAATTAATGATTAGATTAATGAAATAGTTTACCATCGAAATTAATGAAATAATTAATGAAGTTAATGTAACAAAACTAAGAAGTTTAGTAGTTTAGCACAATTCTTTTATTTTGCACATAACGTTTAATTCTACATACTTATTTAAAAACAATTGGACTTCGTGCAAAAATTTATTAAAGAATTAAAATGTAAATAAAATATGCACTGATATTTATATGACTATTTTCAGGGTTCTCACACTACTTCCTTTAAAGAAAGTCAGGTAGGCAATATCCTACCCAATCCAGAATCTAAAATGAACTAAAATAGTAGGAATTAAGATATTTGTGTTAAAGGAAATAAAAACTTTAACATGTATGACTAGACCAAGCATGGAAAAGTATCAAATTACATTGACCTTAGCCTTATTTGCTTATTATCATGTTAATAATTATTGTTTAACACCACGAGTTACTATTTTCGATGTCAATGAGCTAACTGCTTAATTTAAAGCGATCGATCAAGTAATTTTCATTAAACAAATGAATTTAAGGTGATCGATCATGTAATTTTCATTAAATATTATTCAATAGCGACTCATTGGAAGATGAATACCACTTTTAGACACTTAAATAAGAAAATCACATGATTATTGCTTAAATACTTAATTAAACTTTTAATTAGCATTTTATGCAATTTAAAAATTTTCTAATTAAGAAGTATTGCGGAGAACTTCCAAATAATTGTTTTGTTTTTGTTTTGAGAACTTGATTAGCTCATTATTTTCTTTTCTTTTATTAACAGTCGATTTATTTTCACATTACACTAACTTGTCAAATATAATTTGTCTAAATCTTTATTAAAAAGACATATAATCATTCCAATTAAGAATTGAAGGTCAAACTTATATTAAAATCTAGCAAGATTCAAGGGATCAAGCTAAAAATCTAGCAAGATTCAAGGGATCAAGCTAAACTTATATTAAAATCTCTATCTTATTAAGAGATAGCAACAATTACATTATTTCTATTCTAGGTCCTTAGAAATCCTAATGCCATGTTATTAGTTTCCACTTTTTAAAAATAATCTCGGATTTCTGACTATAGGATAAGAAAATATTTTTTCTATGTGGGACATGAAGCAAGGATGTGTTTTTAAATAAATCGCAATAAACAAATATTGTGCTAAAATACTTTTTATATATACTTAATCATGGATATCATCATTACTTTTCCTAGTAAATCACGCTCTGTTTGTTAGAACATAGTTAATCACTTTGTCTAGCAGAATTATCCATCCAAGATAATTATATATTGTAATTTAACTAAATCTCATACAAGTAATCATTGCTGCTATAGTTGATATTAATGTTTGCTAGAAGAAAGTTACAAAGTCGATGTAACTATGATATGGCATGATAAAAAGGCATTAGGTCTAAAGTGATACTTCCTATCACGAAAAAGGAGTACTATTGTTTCCAGATTGTTTATCTTCATCTACTAGTGTACATAATGTACATGTATAGTTATTATTGACATATTATCTCTATCAATCTCTTTTAAATACAACCCATAAATATTGTTAGTCTATGACCTAAATGTTGCAGTATGAGAGATTACTTTGTAGTTGATTTGATTTATGTTATCTTGAATGCAATATGTATTATAGTTATGATACTTGTATTATCAAAAGATTAAATCCTATAGCATACAACTTTGAGATTATAAGTTCTAATCAAAACAAACCCTATAAGAATGGTAAGATGAAATTACGATTCATCAAATTGTTATTAATTACTTATATCGTTCAAAATTTTTTTGTAAAATGATATTAAATAAAAAAACATTAACGACGTTATTAATAGTGCCATCTAGCTTTATAAGAATATACCGCCACAATTGCAAATCTTTGTTCAAAAACTAAGGGGAAAAAAATCAAATTTCATTGTGAGAAACCATGTTAACAACATACAAACACTTAATTTTTGTTATTAAATTAAACAATTATAACCACAACCAGTTTTGGAAGACTACAGTAATGTTTACATACTTTTACTTTTTTACATGTACATTACAATCAACTTGCTTTGGAAATTAAAAAAAAAAAAAAAACTTGCCTTGGAAAATTTTTTAAAAAAAAACTTGCTTTGGAAATATGTTTGCATCGCTAAAGGTCCATTACATTCCAAAGTTAGATGTAACGCTCTTTTTATTTTTACTTTCGACCTGCAAACATAGATATAATTAACCACTTTCATTATAGTATACATGTACATATCAATGAAGACATATAAATGCTACCAAATTTCAAGAATCTCCATTCTTAGGGTTATCATTCTGTAGTACTTCATTATTCACAAATTTTTCAAGCAGGTACAATTAGACATGTCATTATCTATTCTTTTATATTTATACATTAATATAAATAAACCCTTCTAGGAACTTGCATTTCTAATCAAGCTTGACATGTTATAAATTAACGAACAGGTCATGAATTATTTGCGATTTTTCCCTACTCTACTATTACAATGCCTATCTTCAACTATCAAAGAAGCTGTAAATTGTATGAAGAACACAAGCAATTTCCCCAAAATTTAAGATTCCGTGAATATTTAATAATCATTGCTCTCATGAAATCCAAGACATTCAGACTAAAAACGTCAAAGTAATTGTTCACTAAAGCATCAAGCAGTATGGAAAAATGATTAGTATTGCAAATTTGATGGGTATGAAACCTGTACTTCCTGATTACCAATAAATTTTTTTAATCTTTAGTGTTAAATTTGTTCATGAAATGTTTAAATACTAGGACTGATGAATTGCAGGATGCTTGTCAGAATTGTTCTAGCTAGAAATATATCCTTGTAAAAACGTTCTAGTTAGAAATTGATACGTATGAATTTTGTTTCAAAGTACTGTATAGTTTGCAATTGGTTAGCTAAAAGATTTATGGAGTTTAAGGAGGGCCTTTTATTCAATAAGTTCCACAAACCCACACTTTTAAATAGAGGTGTTCACATTTCAGAAAAACAAAAAAGCCGGCCAATTCAATCTGGATTGGATTTAGATTCCAGTAAAATCAAAATATCTTCAATTATAATGTTTGGTAAAACAGTTTGGGAACTAATATTAAAAAAATATTACCAAATTATTTATTACTGACCAAATTTCTGAAATTATTGTAATATATATATATATATATAGATACACATTACTAAATACTAATTAGTAATGAGTAATTAATTAACTACTAACTAGAAGATTAGTATAGTATTACTAGCTAAATTGATTGAATTTTGTTGAAAAAATATATGGGATATTATTTTGGTACAATAATTTTTTAAAAGAAATTAAAATATTTTATTTTACTATTGACATTTTAGATTTTGGATATTATTGGTTCTGCGGCCAAAATCCAATCTCCAATGTCCAATTTATCAAATTAAAGTTTGGCCAATTGGCTATTGATCTTTTTTTTTTTCCTTTTTTCTTATTCTTCCTCCTTTCCTTCCTTAACCCCTACCCCAAACCTGTCAAGCGAACTTCTGATGTGACAGGTGACGGCATAGCTCCTTGGTCAACAGCCCAATGAGTTGTTGGTTGATTGTTTTTTTGGTCTTCAAAAATCAATTCTCGAATTCTCAAGATTTTTTAAACTAAATTATCAATTACTAATCGATGAACATCCTTACTTTTAAATACACTGGTCGAAAAGAAAATAGTCAAATACGATCTCCATTCTCTCTGGCCCTTTTTGGCCGTTAAGGCAAAGCAAAAAAGCCCAAAATGCTCTAAGAATTAATTAGCATTTCATTCGTTTTGGAAATTCACAGAGCCCAAAGTCCAAACCGGTGTAAAATTAAGGCACAATTGAATAAAAATGGGTCAAACTTAGGTCCTAGACCCAAGCCATATACAAAGTTACAAACACAAAAATGATATGGCATAAAATAAAGGAAAACGACACTACGAACGAGCAATCTTCTACAAGTGAATAATTTTGCCTTGTTAAAATCTATTGTAAAATTATTATGCAAGAAATATTTTTGATGGTTCTGGGCTGTATGGCTCTATAAATCTTTGTTGATACTAGTTGGGTTGGGGCTGTAGGAAGTGTTGGCTGAGGCTCATTCGGGTTTGTGTATTCATGGGGAGTTTTTTCATGAGGACGAGGAAGAAGTTAGGGAGCTCTAAAATGGAGGGAGATGGGGTATATGTCGGCTTATTTGGATTCTAACTACTGCCGCGTTAGGCCAGCCATATCCTTCCTAGTGTATTGATTTCTTGTTAAAATTGTTGATTGTCAAAATTGAAAGAGTCCCTTTTCAATATATTGCGAATCGAATGATTTCTTGAAATATCTTGCAGTTGACATGTTTACGACTAATCGGAGGCAAGAAGAGCGGACTGGAAATATGGAACTCCTCGGGTAAATTACCTTCAGGAATATCTCTGCTGTAAATTATTGCTATCAGAAATATTCAACTTTTCCCTGTTCAAAATGGTTGTGAATGCGAAAATGTAGCTGAGAATTGTATTTCTTTTATCTGCCTTAATATTTGATTGTTTGGGAACTTTCATTAGTGGCAGTTGATAGTTAGCATCTATTGTTTTCTTTATTTGATTTAGGAATTGGTGACTCAGTTTCAGAATGCTACTGATGAAGGTATGCTTTGTCGAATTCTTGTTTAAGCATATTTACTTGCTTCTTTCGTATAGCATTATGAGGTTAAGGCATTTGATTAATAATTAGCCTTGACATCAGCTGGTACTGACAGAATTTATGAAGTAATGAACTAATGGAACAAAAGATTATTCTGCAGTTTTTGTTGTATAATTAATGATTGATCTTGACATCAGCTAGTACCAACAGGGTTACGAAGTAAGGAAACCAATGGAATAAAAGATTATTCTGCAGTTGTCATTGTAGATTGCTGATCAAATAAAATTCAAGTTTTTTGATTTGCTGACATGGAGCTGGTGCTGGAATCCCTATATTGCTTCTGCCATTCAACTTCTGTGACTGCTAAAAACATTGTTCTAAAAACATTGTTTCATCCATGGAATCTATACAGAATCAATTTCTTGCGGTAATGGTCATGTGAATGTAGACTGGAACCTTTTCTTTGGAGGGGAGACATGCATAGATGAAAAGGGTCTAAAGGTAAAGTAGTTGTATGAATGTCATATTGCCCTGGATTGGTTGGGATTAAGCAGCCTTAGCAAACAGGTTAAAGGTGGATGATCAGTTTTGAGCCAGTGACCTCCTAGGTTGAAAACTCAGAATGAAGAATTCTTGACTTTGCCACAACCCTGATGATGTGATCTGATTCATGTTGATGAGGAATATGGGGAGCTTGTCTTATGGATTGGGTTTATATTAACTTACTCCAAGATAAGTGGGATGAAAGGATTGGTTAATTTCATGTTTTAGCCCTCATGCCTTCTCATACTATTAAGTAGGGACATGGTTTCTGTGGGAGTATCTGCACTTATGACATATGATATCTATTAGTAATTGGTATTCTCTATCATCGAATAGCGTGTCCAACTAATAAACCTACTCATTCTAATTCCAAATGTAACATTTGTGGTCTCAAAATTTTGTGTCAAGTATATATGAACATTTGTACCTAATTTTGGTTATTCCATTTTAAGTTAACCTATGAAATCTTGTTATAGAGATAAAAGAGAGAATTGCTGCTAATCTAGCAAACTTTGCATATGACCCTTACAACTACACATTCTTGCGCGAGGTAGTTCTAGAACTTTTGAGTTATATGTATTTTTCTTTCTGCCATGACAATGAATGTGCTTGCCCTGATATAAGCAGCTTAATGTTTTGGAACTTTTCCTCGACTGCATGACAGAGCCCAATGAGAGGCTTGCGGAGTTTGGAATTGGAGGAATCTGCAATGCTTGTGCTGGTAAATTGGACTTTTGGCCCTGTTTTATTCGTCATTTAAGAAAAGAAGATGTCTATTTTTTTTTATTTCTTCTAAAATTTTCTCAACTGGCTTTTATTGCCAAACAGTTACTTATGGTGTATACTGTGATTTGGTTTTTACTTGTAATCTAGATCCATCAATTGCTGCAGTTGTTATTCAGTGTGGTGGAATATCTCTTGTCATCCAATGTCTCTCTAGTCCTGTCCGAAACACGGTAATTAGTATTTGCTTTCTGGCTTGTTCAGACCATTGTTTGCATGCCCTAACCCTTTGACTATTGGAACTCGACTTCAAGCAGGGCTCAAATTGCATATCCATGCTACTTAATTTTTTGAAACTAGAAAAGGTTTACATGTCTTACTTTACTCAAAGTTCATTTACTATCATTCGCTCTATTTATTGCTAAATATTACGGAGACAGCTGTGGAACAGAGGTGAATCCTGTGGCAGTCACATGCTAAATATTCCAGTTCTGGAGCATCTTTTCTCATTAGCATTGTATTTTATGCTTGTATTTCATGGAGGCCACCTAATGCTATTTTCATCGCAATTACTAAATTGACAAACTAATGTACTTGGTTGATTTTTGTTGAGTTGTATTTCGTTAATATACTATTTGAGCTGAATTTGGAATGCAAGACCTTATGGATACCATGGATTACTGTTGGTCATGGCACTTGACCCTGCTATTCTTTATTGCCAACCCTTTATTCAGAAGAATTTGTTATTTGCAGTTATCCTGAAAGTCGCTTCTGCCAGAAAGAGAAATGAATCTCTGAGCGTCCTTTGAAAAATGGAAACTTAGCTATAATCTTGGTATAGATGTGGGTATTGTGTTACCAGCAGTATAATTTTGTGCAAGTGTCTGGATGCTTACTAGTTACTGTAAACAAACCTCAATATGGCAGGTGAACTATGCTCTTGGGGCTTTGTATTATCTCTGCAGTGCAACAAACAAGGAAGAGACTTTGAAGCCAGAAGTAGTGGATATCATCAAAAGATACGCTTCAACTGGTGCAGTTAGTGTGAGCTTTTGTAACATGGCCCAGGCTTTTCTCGATATGTGTCAGGCTAAAATTTCTATGAGAGATTCTAAGGAAGGTTTAGCAGAGCAGGAATTGGGGAAAGAAGAAAGAGAAAGCCAAGAGCACAAGAAAGAGAGAAAGAAAGAGTAACTGAGAAGAGAGAAAATGAATCTGCTGTATTTCTTGCTGAATTCGTTACAAGAGGGTAGGGAATCAGTTATAGAAATTCTGTTACTCCCTAACTAACTTTCTCAACAACCACTAACTATCTAAATAAGTCTAACTACACCGTTTTGCCCTTGCAATTATTCTAACTACGCCGTTTTGCTTATTCCACCAAAACGCAAGGCAAGCCTTCTTAAAACGACAAGTCTAATACTTCTTAGGTGCCTGACAATCCCTCCCTGTTAACATCAAGCTTGTCCTCAAGCTAAAAAGTTGGGAAACTGTTTGTCAATGTAGCTTTTGTCCTCCCACGAAGATTTAGACTCTGGCAGCTGATTCCATTTCACCAAGTACTGAATGACAAGTTGAGACTTGCGCATAATAGCCCTCCTTCTTAACACCTTCTCAAGATGCAGTATGCACCGATCAGAAGCATCAAGCTCAGGAAGGGTGGGCTCTATGTCCTGAGCAGCTCCCACTTTTCTCTTTAACAATGAGACGTGAAACATTGGATGGACTCTGGATCCCTCTGGTAGTTGTAGCTTGTAAGCTGCGGCCCCAACTTTTCCAATGATCTGGAAAGGGCCGTAATACTTAGCAGATAGTTTCAGACTCTTCCTAATGGCCACAATCTGTTGCCTATAAGGCTGAAGTTTCAGGAATACCCAATCACCTACTTGGAAGGTCCTTTCTGTCCTGTTCTGATCAGCAAAATGTTTCATACGATTCTGAGCCGTGGCGAGGTTGTCTTTGATGTTTGCTAGAACTTGAAGTCTCTCCTGTACCATATCAGTTGCTGCAGGAATGACACTGTCATGAAAAGGACCTAGAGGTAGATGTACTGGCTTATACCCATATAAGGCTTTGAAGGGTGTAAGTTGCAGGCTTGTGTGAAAATTTGTATTATAACACAGCTCAACTGAAGGTAACTAGTCACTCCAATGAGATGGATGTTCACTACACATGTACCTCAGGTAACTCTCTAGACACTGATTGACCCTCTCATTTTGTCCATCTGTTTGAGGGTAATAGGATGAACTATAATGCAAACCAACCCCCAGTGTACAAAAGAGTTCCTGCCAGAATTTACTAATGAATACCTTATCCCTATCAGAAGTGATAGACTTAGGCAGGCCATGCAACTTATACACATAGTCCAGAAAGAACTGAGCTACTTGCTGTGCAGTATAAGGGTGAGACAACTTTATAAAGTGGCTAAACTTGGTGAAACGATCCACTACAACCATAATAGTGTCATATCCCTTGGAGAGAGGAAGTTGCTCAATGAAGTCCATGGTCAGATGTGTCCAAGCCTGTTGAGGGATTGGAAGTGGTTGCAGCAGCCCCGGATAAGGAACATTCTCATGTTTGTTCCTTTGACAAGTGTCACAAGCTTGCACGAATTGTATGAGATCCTTTTTGATACCATGCCAATAAAATAGGGACTGTACCCTCTGCAAGCACACCTTTTGTCCAGAATGGCCTCCCACAGCTGAGTCATGCAAGGCGTTGACTAAATTGAGCCTAACTCCATTAGCTCCTCCTACATACAGTTTACCTCTGAATTTGAGCAGTCCTTTCTCCAGCTGATACCCTGAGCAAGCATTAGGATCTAACAGCAGTTGGGACATGATGCTCTGGGCTACCCCATCCCTTTCATTACTCTAAGTTAATTCTCTCATCCATACTGGCTGCACTGCTGAGAGGACACAGAGGTGATTCACTACTTCCTGCCCTTCATATTCTCCTTCCATCCTTCTCCAAGATAAGGCATCAGCAACCCCATTGTCAGCCCTTTTTTGTACTGGATCTCATTGTCCAACCCCAGTAACTTGGTGAGCCATTTATGCTGCAAGGGATGAATAAGCCTTTGTTCCAGTAAGTATTTGAGGGCCTGATGATCAGTTTTGATGACAAAGTGGTGTCCCACCAGGTAGTGCTTCCATTTGATTACAGCTAACACTAAAGCCATCAGTTCCTTCTCATAGACAGACATTCCCAAATTCTGAGGAGATAGAGCCTTGCTAAGAAAAGCTATGGGATGTCCCTACTGCATCAAGACTGCCCCAATTCCAACCCCACAGGCATCAGTTTCTATCACAAAAGGGAGATCAAAGTTTGGCATTTTAAGGACTAGTGCAGTAGTCATGGCCCTTTTGAGGTCTTCAAATGCTATTTGAGCATTATGGCTCCACACAAAGCCTTCTTTCTTCAACAATTGAGTCAATGGTTTGCAGATAACCCCATATCCCTTGATAAACCTTCTAGTATCCAGTCAAACCAAAAAATCCTCTCAGCTCCTTAATTGTGCCAGGAGTAGGCCATGATTGAATACATTCCACCTTGCTTAAGTCCATACTCACTCCTTTCTCAGAGATAATATATCCCAGATACTCCACTGAGGTCTGAGCAAAAGAGCATTTAGACCTTTTGCAGTAAAGCTGATTGTTAGCCAAGACCCCCAACACAATCTTCAAGTGTTGTGCATGTGCTTCCAATGCAGGACTGTAAATGAGGATGTCATCAAAGAAGACCAGCACAAACTTCCTTAGGTAAGGTTGGAATATCCTGTTCATCAGAGATTGAAAGGTAGCTGGAGCATTAGTAAGGCCAAAGGGCATTACTAAGAACTCGAAATGGCCATATGTGTCTGGAAAGCAGTCTTATATATGTTAGCAGTCTTGACTCTCAACTAATGATATCCTGCTCTGAGGTCCAGTTTAGACATGTATTTTATCCCATGTAGTTCATTCAACAATTCGTCTATGTTTGGGATAGGGAACCTATCCTTGACAGTAAGCTCATTTAACTTTCTATAGTCCACACATAACTTCCAAGTATTGTCCTTCTTCTTAACCAACAACACAGGAGAGGCAAAGGGACTACAACTGTGCTTAACAATCCCATTAGTGAGCATTTCAGCAACCTGTTTCTCAATCTCAGACTTGTGCGCATGGGGATACCTGTAAGGTTTAAGTTTAAATGGCTCTGCTCCTGGTTTCAAAGGAATCTGGTGATCTAACTCCCTCTCAGGAGGTAGTCCATGTGGAGTTGCGAACACCTGTGAGTACTGCTGCAGGACTGAGGCCACCTGTTCTGGAATGTGCTTCTCCTGATCATCCCTGGACTCCATCTGTAGAGAGGTGCAACACCTTTGTTTTTCTTGTATAAAAGTCCTGAGATCCTTCCCCCTCACCAACTCCATCACAGGCTGGTTAATGAAGCCTTGGAGGTGTAACAAATCACCCCTACTGCTAAGAGCAATACTGAGTGCATGGAAATCAAATGTGATAGGACTGAATTGGCACATCCGTCAACTCCTAGGATTATGTCCTAGCCTCCCAACTCCATAATCTTCAAATCGAATTGAAACTGATAGTCTTGTATTAACCACCTAACACTTGGACAGATAGTTCCACTAGTTATGTCAGTACCATCTGCCAGGATGACTGTAAAAGGTCGACCGTTTGATAAGGAAGCTGAAGAGTCTTAGCCAATCCATAGTGTATGAAGCTGTCAGAGCTACCAGTGTCTACCCGAAGTTTGACAGGTACTCCTCCTAAGTTACCTAGTAGTATGATCGATTTCCTTTGGATGGCTGCTGCTAGAGAATTCACTGACACCTCAACCATTTCCCCTACTCTCCCTTTGAGCTCATCCTATTCTCCTTCTGCATCTTCGAATTCAGTTTCCTCTCCTTCCTCCATATCAAGACAGTTCAATCCCCTATATTTGCACTGATGACATACTCCAAATTTATCCCCACACCTGTAACACAAATTGTGCTTACGCCTATACTGCATCTCCTCAGCTGAGATCTTGTTAAACTCTCTAAATCTAGTGTCAACCTTCTTGAGATTTGGATCAATAGCTGGTAGCTTATAAGAGCTTGGACTGTTCTGATCGTGGTTGTGATTCTTGTACATCCTATACTTAGGTTCAACAGCTGTCCTTCCTGATGGCTTATGCTGTTTAGACAAAGTTTTCAACGAGCACTCCTGCAACTCAGCAACTTCAAAAGCTTTGGATAGGGTCTGTGGCTTGAACATTTTGACCATTGGCTTAATCTCCTCCTTTAATCCACTGATAAAACTGGATATGAAGTATCCTTCATCCAATTTGGGGTTTCTAATCAACATGAAAGTCTTTAATTCTTCAAATTTCTCCTCATACTATTCTATGGTCCCTTTTTGTTGTAATTTATTGAATTCCTCAACTACATCACATGACCACTTCCTCACATAATAATTCACAAAATTCTAACTACGTTAGTCTAGGTCTTTCCAGCCTCACCCCTTGGAACCAATTGTCAGCTCTCCCCTCCAAGAACATCTCTACCATATCTACCCTTTGATTTTTAGGTATTTGATAATTAAGGAAGTATTTCTGACATTTCTTTAACCACTCCCTAGCATTACCAGAGGAGAACATAGGCATTTCAAGTCTGGCAGGTTGGGGGTAAAAGTCTTACCTTTACCCTCAGGTTGACCTCCATGCATCTCTGTGGGGATCATGAGCGTCAAATGCGCTGGAGGAGTAGGTAGGATTGGTTCAGACGCACCTACTTCTACTTCCGGCACTCCTTTTTCTTTCATCATCACTTTCAGCAGCGCATTGAGTTTCAGCTCCATCTTACTGAACTTCTAGTCCAAGTTTCCCACCATAGCCTCTATCCTTGCATTATTTTGCTCCATTTCGCCGTGAAACTTCTGCTACAACTTGTTTTGGCAAGAGGTCTGAGCTGCAGCCATTGTCTCCATTACTTCTTGTAGCCTAGTTTCCTGTTTCTTGAGTTGATCCTCCAATGATCGATAATTGGTGTTTTCAGCCATATGTGGTGTCTCAAGTAGCCAAGGATCGGCCGCTCTGATACCAATTGTCAGGCTAAAATTTCTATGAGAGATTCTGAGGAAGATTTAGCAGAGCAGGAATTGGGGAAAGAAGAAAGAGAAAGCCAAGAGCATGAGAAAGAGAGAGAGAAAGAGTAACTGAGAAGAGAGAGGAAATGAATATGTTGTATTTCTTGATGAATTCGTTACAAGAGGGCAGGGAATCATTTATAGAAATTCTGTTACTCCCTAGCTAACTTGCTCAACAACCACTAACTATCTGAATAAGTCTAACTACACCGTTTTGCCCT